TACTTGTCAGCAGTCACCTGGCATGTTTATGACCTGAAGTACCACACTGCGGAGCCTTGTGGGAATGAGTGATAAGAAAATGAGATGACAGTGCAGAAATTCTCAATTCCAGTAGAACCCTGGAAAATTAGTGATAAAGTAAAACAAGGGAGTGGTAGGGAAAATTGAAAACTGGTTGGATAAAAAGACAATTTGGCTTGTGATTGGTTTAAGCTGCTACTTTTTGGGGGGAACAACGGGAGGAACTATAAAAGATTTTGCCATCTTATACAGTGTGAACCTTGCTCTGGACAGCTTGACTGCCCCCAGGACTCCCACCCGGTGAGAAGCGGATGCCCGCACTGTAATTCCACTTTGACCTGACACCACATCAAGCTCCGCGGGTTCTTCATCATACTTTGACTTTCCGAGCTATGCTGCTTCTGTTAGCTTCAACCTTAGCGTGCTTTCTTTGAAAAATTAAAACATCTGTAAACAGCTATGTTAAATCTCAAATAAATGCCTGTGCAAACATGGTGCAAGCTGCTTGAATCTTGCTTCTTTGAAATGGCTTTAATTCCTTGCTGCCCAAAACTTGCTTTGCTTCCCGTTTATCGAATGAAACGAGAATTACTTTTAAGAGATGAGCAGTCAGAACTGGGGTTTTCTTGCATTTCTTTCACTGGTCCTACTAAAAGGGGCAGAGGATTAAAGAGTAGTTGCAGGAACATCACTAATCTATTTACTAGTGCACTCACTGCGCAAGACTAACGCGGCCAGAATGCTGTCTGCAAAACCTGAGGGCCCACAGTCTCCTGCACTGGCCCTTGCCAATCTCACAAAAACAACTCTCCCCAACACCACACAAGGTCCTGCCCTAGTACCTTCAGATTCAGATGAGGAATATTTTCTGCTCAGTACTGTTGTCAGTGTTTGTGCTTGGCACATAATATATTTTCAAACATAAACAAAAAACCAAAAAGTGTTTGCCTGTTTTTTTTTCGGGGGGGTGGGATACAAACCAGTAGTTCAATGTTTTATTACAAGGACAGCACACTACAGAAGCTTGTCTCCTATCTTTTCTAGCAGCTGGGACGGCCCTCAGCAGCATGAACAGAAACACCCTCTATCCCAGAGGCCTTTCTCCAAGGCAGCAGGAGAGTTCCAGGCAGGCCTGTGTCTAACAGCTGGTGCAAGTGCTGGCCTAACCTGATATCAGAGACATGCACAAGCCGTTCGGGTCCAGCTGGCACAGAGCTGCACGCTTTCTGATAAGTCTGCAGGACTGTCTGATAAGGTTGTGTTAATCCCACACCAATAACTCTCCATGAAAACTGCTCTACATAAGAACACATCATTTAGGCAACATCTGCAAAGGGAAAAGATCTTTGGGAACCTTCAAATCTGGAAGGCATACGTCTATCAACAATATTGAAGTATCGCTTAGCACCGTCTGCCTAATATTAAATCCCAGGACAGGAGCATCCTATGATAATAGAAAAGGAGATCCCAGCAATCTAGCATCACCTTGCCCTGTGCCTCACAGTAGACAGTGAAGTCCCAGGCACAATTTCTGGTCCTCTACTGAGATCAGACTGCCTGAGTTGCAGAGAGCTGGTGGGCAAGAGACTGAAGACAGTTAGTCTCTCCAGAGTCTCCCCTGAGAGTGCTCAAAAGCGCGCTGAGAGTGCCTGTCCTAAAGGCTGCTATCTCAATAGTTGGTACTGAGATTCATTCCATCAGTCTTTACACACAACAGGCAGACAGAGGAAGCTGTGAAAAAGACAGAATTCCCCATTGCTATGCGTTTTGCCATTTAAGCAAAGCAGATTTAGGTTGTACTAGCATACCCTTTGTATATTATGCCCCAGAGAGAAAGAGAGTATGCATTGCCTTGTATTAGATCTGAACTCATCCCACAGTTCTCTTGCCTAGCTTCCTTTGCTTTCTTAAGCTTCTTCCCCACTTCCTCCCTTTTTTTTTTTTTTTTGAAAAACAAACTGAAGGGACGACAGTTCATTTTGGCAACCACAGGGTTTTTTAATAGCAATATATAATACACTCTTCTCACATAAATATTTTATACAGACACATGAACATTCACAGCACTCAATCCTAGACATTGTTCCAAAGCTCCAGTTGTGTTTAAATAGTGCAAGAAAAAAAAAGTCATCAAGCACAGGAAGAATGCAAACAGTTTCTAAAACGTAAATAAATAAACAGACTATTGCTCTTCTGTCCTTACAATTCACTTAAATACTGTCTGCCTCAACGGGTTAAACAGTTGTGTTCTGCCACCACAGCTGCATGGGCAAAGAGAGCAAAAATACCCGTGCACATTCACTACTAATGTATTGTCAGCAATACAGGTCACTCAGAGAGGGATCTGACTGCACTCCTGTCATATGCAGAAAGCATCACCTTTTCCAACCCCACCGTCTCTGTATTCCAAGCTAGAGTGTCTTTGTATATGAACATCTAATAGGATTGGGATGATGCAGGTAAGTGATCCTGTGCCAGTCTCTGAAACTTTGATTTTATGTTGTATTCCAGCTGTACAATGCCCATCTGTTGTTACTGAGAAGCATGTGACCTCAAGAGCAGTATACCTAATCTTCAGGTTCACACGCTTGTCTTCCTTGACTTGCTATAGCTTTTGAGAAGTCAGGTCAATGAATCACTTTAGAAACAGAATGTTTTGGGGGAGAGGGAAGAGGAGGAAGGAGGGTAAGGATCAGAGCTCCAAAATTGTCTTGTGCCTGCCTATGTTGACACAGCTTTCAGACCATGAAGCAGAACTTCAGGCTTCCTTTTCCCTCACATATAGGAGACCTGACAAAAGAAATACTGAAGAAAAACAAATAAAAAACTTGCACCATAGAGCCCACTCTCCCATCTCACATGTGGGAAAGATTTTGGATTTGCAGCACCAAGGTTTTGATGAAACACAGAGCAGTTCAGGTTCTCTATTTCTTAAACTCAAAGGAGCCCAGGCTAATTCACAAGTCAAAGGCATATATACCTTTTCACGCTACTGCAACAACAAAGAGCCCTCCTCATCCTCCACAAAGGGAGGGGAATGAAAGAGCTTTTCCAAAGAAAAATCTAACAACAAACAGCACACTTGAAGACATCCTGGCATGTCAGAACAGATTCTCTAATTCTTCCTTTGTTACTTGACCAGGCAAGAGAATAGGGCATAAAAGCTGCAAGTGTTCCTGCATTCCAGGCTTCTGATGCAGAGTTTACTTAATTTGAGATTTATCACCTGACAGTCATTTTTAAGAACCTAAGCATTTATCTGCATAAGCTGCACACTGCTCTGCTCTGCCATTGCTAAATCAGGAACTAAAATATTCATGAAGCATCTTGCAGGACACCATCCACAGCCCTGGACTGCCACAGCCTGAGATGAGAAATAGATCCACTTCACACAACAGATTCAGAATGCCCCAAATAAATTCAGGCTTCTAGTATAGCACGTTGGTTTGATCCCATACCTAAAGAAATTAAAGACTCAGAGCAGCTCATGCAGTTGCCACCTTACTCTACCAGGTGAGTAATCCTAGATTTGGTTCTCCAGCTCTCTGAGCCTGTAGTGCTTGGAGCCATAAAAAGCAGTTTCCACTGCTGTTTCAGATAGGCAGCCTTCGGGTCACCAGGGGCAAGAGAGACAGCAAAAGAAAGGAAAAGTTCTTCATATTTAGGATATGGCAAATGATCTGTCCACACATCTGACAGTTAGAAACAGCACAGGGAATGTGGCAGCTTGTCAGCCACAAAATGATTTTGACTGGAATGATTTGATGCAGTGATTTATTCTTAACATGAAGACAAATGTACATGGGACCCTCCTACCACTCTTGGAGACTCCTCTGCTGTGTAGTGCCAGTCTCCCACCACGGATGGGCTGAGTCTGAAAACAGGCAGCACCTTCCAAGCCTCTAGCCTGTCCCTTAGACTTGCCCTGGACTTAACTTTTCTGTCAGTCATCATACCTTCTTGGGGGTTGGAATCTGGTAAGTAACATCTTTTACAAGCTATGTCCCCTCTAACCTCGCGTTCAGGAGGCTGCTAGAGCAAGCACTGATTGTCCAAATTACACTTAAATTAAGGACAGCAGGTAATATTAGTTGCCTGTATAACTACAGTATGTCACATCTTCATATTTAGAGACTTCTGCTCTTCTTTTCAAGTGCATTTTAATATCCCTAGATACTTAAGAAAATAAGAACCGAAGCTATGTTGTCTGCAAGGCACACCATGGAATAGGATGCAGACTTCCATGCCCAGCTTTGCAGCAACACCAACAGAGCTGCAGGAGTCCCAACTCAGCCAGGCAGCATTGAGGCACAAGTGAAGAAGGGAATGAGCTGTGTCTGACTTTGGAAACCACATGCTATCAGGTCTGTGTAACAATGTAGGAATGAGGAAGAAGG